TCTCTGAGAGTTGTCTTGGGGCGTCCTGGGAGGGGTGTGATGCCTCTTGGAGCTCCCATGCTGCCGTTTGGGCGCCTCCGGGCCGTTCTGAGTCCGTTCCCAACGCACGCTTGGGACGCCCGGGAGGTCCAGGCAGCCCCCCCAGGGGCCCGGAGGTGCGGGTCCGCGGCGAATAAAAGTTCCAACATGAACGGAGGCGGAGGCGGGGGCGGAGGAGGAGGAGGAGGAGGAGGAGGCTGCCGCCTTTGGGTTGGTGATGGAGGAGGAGGAGGGAGGAGGAGGAGGAGGAGGAGGATGAGGAGGCAAGATGAGGGGAGGAGGAGGAGGAGGAGAGGGAGGAGGAGCAGGGGCGTGTGGATCAGCAACGGGCCCCGCTTCCATACAGGGTCGACGCGCCCCTCCGCCAGAGGAGGCGGCACTGGCATCATGCTTACGGGAGTGCCGGTGTGTCTTCCCTGATCCATGGACATGGCGCCCACGCGCCACATCCACGGATCCGTAGTCCATGTCAGCCCGAGACATCTCTCTCTCTCTCTCTCCTCTCTATTTGTTCTCTCTCTCTCTCTCTCTCTCTCTTTGTTACCTCTTTGCTCTCTCTCTCTCTCTCTATCCCTCTCTCAGCTCTCTTTCTCTCTGGTCTCTTTATCTCTACTCTCTCTCTCTCTCCCTCTCAGCTCTCTCCCTCTCACTCAGCTCTCCCTCCCTCCCTCTCTCTAATGGGCGGAGGGGGGACGGGCAGTCCGCGGCACCCAGGGGGCCTGGGCAAGGCAGCTTGCCGTAGGCAACCACACCAGCCAACGTTGGGCGGCCACGCCAGATCACTTGGGGAAGCGGAGGGGGAGGAGAGGAGGGGTCCAAGCGCGAGGCGCGCGCCGTGGCAGGGGCGACCTGGCAGGGGAAAGGGAGGGGAGGAGGGGGGCCTTCGAGGGAGGACTTGCCTCAACATAAATTGTCGGAGCTCCCCGCGGATTTCTTGGATCGGCGCTGAAAACGCCGCCGTGGGGCTTCAGCGCCGATCCCAGAAATCCGCGCGGACCTCCGAGTTTTTATGGTTATGCAATTGCTTATTCTCCTTGGGGAGGGGGTGGGGCTGGGAGGGAGGGGCGGTGTTGGACGCCCGAGTTGTCCAGGAGAACTCTGGTCCAGGGCAACTCGGGTTGGGGCCCCCGAGGCACGAATCGGGAGCTACCCTTGACCACCCCCAGCCCCGATGGTTCGGGAGTGCTTGGACGCCCGAGTTATTCAGGATAGCTCTGGTCCGGGGCAACTCCGACTTGGGCCCCTGGCGCTTGAACCAGGAGCTACACCTTACCACCCCCAGCCCCGATGATTCGAGGCTATGCTAAGAACTGAGACATCGTTGAAATCACGGCCGGAGCCCCAGACCCCATCTGCCGGCGCCCTTTTTCGAATTGGATCGAGCTGCGAGGGTCCCCGGCCCGAAATTCGACGAGAACGCCCGGCTCGACAAAATTGGCACGCCAGGATCTCAGAGGAGGAGGAGGAGGAGGAGAAGGAATAGGACGAGGAGGAGGAGAGGGAACAGGAGGAGGAGGAGGAGGAGGAGGAGGAGGAGGAGGAAGGGAGGGGAGGAGGGAGGAGGGAGGAAGGGGAGAGGTGGAGGAAGAGGAGAGGAGGAGGAGGAGGAGGAGGAGGAGGAGGAGAGGAAGGAGGAGGAGGAGGGCGAGGTGGTCCGGACCTCGGGCCCACGCATCGAAAAAACGGGAGCGGCTGGATGCCTGGGGACGCCAAGCACGCGGGCCGCCACTGCCGCATCGCTCGCGGCGGCCGGCGGGCCGCGCAGGCAGAGGTCACTCTTGGCTACACTCAAGGCGGGCCTGTCCCTCTGCAGGGGGAACATTCAAAAATAGTCAAAAAATAAGTTTGGGTAATTACGAGGTTTTGATTATGTTTGCCCACTTGGGGAGGGGGTGAGTATTTTTGTTTTATGTTGTCGCCCAAAACCTCCCTGTAGGGGGACACGCCCGACTTGAGCCTACACCCCCCCCCCGAAAGCGGACGCAAATTCTTCCCGCGACGTGGCGGCGCCCCACGACCTCAGCATCTCCATGTTCGCGCCGAAATTGGCGACTGCAAAGACACTCAGCATCTCCATGTTCGCGCCGAGATCGGCGACTGCAAAGACACATAATTCGCTTGACCCCGTCGGCCGCGTTCCGCGCACCGACCACCGTCCACAGCTTGCGTTTGCTTTCGAGGGGGGGGGCAGGCCGGAGACGACTCGAGGGAGGAGGAGGAGGAGGAGGAGGAGAAGGAGGAGGAGGAGGAGGAGGAGGAGGAGGAGGAGGAGGAGGAGCAGGAGCAGAACCCATGAACCAGGAGCCCAGAGCACGTCGCACAGAGGAGGAGGAGGAGGAGGAGGAGGAGGAGGAGGAGCAGGAGCAGGAGGAGGAGCAGGAGGAGGAGAAAGGCTGCGTTCGACGAACCTTCAGGCCGTCGGACGATTCGGGGCGAGGAACCGCGCACCACAAAGGTCACTCCTGACTGGGGGCCACTCCCGCGTGCAGCCGGCTCCTCCTGGGCGCCTCCTCTCCTGCTCGCGCGCCCTGGACCCTCCGCGCGCGGCCCGCCGCAGGGTGCCCACCTCGGTGCGACCCATCCGACTCGACGCTGGGCATCGGCCGGCCCGACGCGGTGCGAGTCCGACATGCCAGCATCGACTGGACGTAAGAGTGACCTTTCGTCGGGCGAAGAGAACTATGCACATGCACCGATCCTGGCAAGGCCCATCTTTGACCCAGGATCGGTGCATATGCCTTCCTGGCCAAGGTAGGAGGGCGTATGCACCGATCCTGGGCTCAGGATGGGCCTGGCCAGAATCGGTGCATGTGCATAGTTCTTTTTCCTCTATTTCGCCGGAGTGACCTTTGGTGCGGGCACAGATGGGCCCCCAGATGGCCGAACGCGAAGCGGCAGCAGCGGCCAGCGCGCCTGGATCTGGCCTCCGCGCGGTCCCCCCAAAGCCGCGCACCAGAGGTCACTCTTACCCAGGGTCACTCTTACGTGTAGCCGACAGCGATGCGATGCGGCCCGATCTTTGTCCGACGAAGGCGTCTATGCAGTGGGGGCGCGCATCAAGAAGCCAGAATGTTTTTCGTCAGGGCGTCCTGGGTGTCTTCGCTCCGCGAGCTGCGCGGTGGCTTCCCCCAGCCGTCGAAGAAGCTGCTGCGTTCAGGGTGCTCTGGGCTTCCCCTCAGGGGCGCCTCGCTCGCGGTTTGCAGGGTTGGGTTTCTTACGAGGGTTTCTTGCGGTCGCGCCCGCACTGTATACCACCACCGTGCCAGCCCAGGGCCAGGATGGCCCTGGCTTGGCACGGTGGTGGTGTATCGATGTCTTGCTCGCCGAGCGCGTTCCACTACTCGCAGAGTGCCTGCTCGCAAGCGTCTGACAAAACACATGTTCGCTTCGATGTGATGTTTCGTAAATCCCCCGCGGCGGATCCAGACCAGTTGCGAGTAGTGGCTTCGCGAGTAGTGTAACGCGCTCGTCTAGATGCTGCCCGATCTCTGGGCCTCCCAGATGGGGTCCCAGTAGATGGGGTCGGAGGATCGCGCCGCATCGCCGCTGAGTCGCCGATGCGGCTCGGTGCAGAGGCGATGCATCGCCGACGTCCCCGGCGCATCGGCGATGCGGCGCGATCCTCGGACCCCATTTGGGAGGCCTCTTGCCGATGCTCGCCTGGCGCTGCTGTGCATCGTGGTGCGGCCGATCTGACCCGGGTGCGGAATCCGTGCCGGTGCGTCCCGGCTTCCGATGCCGGCCGCGTCGGCCCGCCGCCGACCGCAGGCACACCACTTCGGGGCGTTCATCCGCTGCCTGCGAGGCGTGCTCGAGAGAGAGATCCAGGAGCCCCCGAAGCCCCCCCCGGGGCCGCCCTCGCGCCGTGCAGAAGTCAAGACCGGGCGGTGCTTAAGCTGCTCGCGGCCTCGAGGGCAAAAAGTGGAGGAGGGCTGGCGAGCCCCGCGGGGGCAGCGGGGGACCTGGCGGCACCTCAAACATGGAGCTCCGGGACCCCTGAGACCGAGACCCTTCAGGTCATAAAAGAAGCATGGCGGGAAATTGCTCGCTGTTTTCGGCCTCCAGGGATCTTTACTGGGACCCCGTGATTGTCAAGACACGGCTCGAGATGAAAAACCAGCCCCAGGGAATGAGTCGAGACCTCTTGGGGTCGACGATGTGAGAAAAGCATGACGTCGGAGGCCCCCAGACATCCGCCGCTCCAGTTTTTTCGATTCGTGCCTCCCCCGGGGTCTGGGCGAGCCGGTTTCTCATCCTGAGCCGTTGTTGTTGCTAGCCCCAAAGCGCCCACTGCGGGCCCTTGGAGGCCGCAAGATAGCCAAAAGCCAGCCGCTCCAATTCCTTCGGAGGGTCGATCTCTGGGTCTACAACCCCCCTCGAAGTCAAGCGCAAGTTCTTCCCGCGACGTGGCGGCGCCCCAGGACCTCGGCATCTCTATGTTCGCGCCAGAACTGGAGACTGCAAGCACATGAATATTGACCCCGTGGGCCGCGGTTTCGCGCGCCGCCCAAGGTTAAAACCGTGCGTTTGATTTCGAGGGGGAGTGTAGGCCAGAGACGATTCGGAAGGAGGAGGAGGAGGAGGAGGAGGAGGAGGAGGAGGAGGAGGAGGAAGAGGAGGAGGAGGAGGAGGAGGAGGAGGAGCAGCAGCAGCAGGAGCAGGAGCAGGAGCAGGAGGAGGAGGAGGAGGAGGAGAAAGGCTGCGTTCGACGAACCTTCAGGCCGTCAGGAACCAGGAACCAGGAGAAGGAGGAGCAGCTGGAGGAGGAGGAGAAGGAGGAGGAGGAGGAGGAGCAGCTGGAGGAGGAGAAGGAGGAGGAGCAGCTGGAGGAGGAGAAGCGAGGAGCGAGGAGCGAGGAGGAGGGGCACGGAGCGACGACCGCGACGACGAGGGCGAGGACGCGGGCGGCGGGGAGAAGAGGCAGGTCGGGTCGTCGGAGGTCTGCCCCCCGCCGCCCCGCGCGCCGTGCTGCTCCGGGCAGGCCCGGGCCTCGAGTCGGGGGAGCGATGGAAGAGTTGATTTGCGCCCCAGAGTGGAGCTCCGCTTCCCCCTCCTCCTCCTCCACCTCCACCTCCCCCTCCCCTCCTCCCCTCCTCCTCCTCCTCCTCCTCCTCCTCCTCCTCCTCCTCCTCCTCCTCCTCCTCCTCCTCCTCCTCCTCCTCCCCTCCTCCTCCTCCTCCTCCTCCTCCTCCTCCTCCTCCTCCTCCTCCTCCTCCTCCTCCTCCTCTTTCTCCTCCTCTTTCTCCCCGCCCCTTCAACGAAGATACAGTCGGAGCGTTGACCGAAGGAACCCGAAATAAGGAACGAGGCCCCTTTCATCCGCAAGTTGAGAACTTCGGTTTCCCATCGAAAACCGAGGGAAAACCCGAGGCAAGCTGTAAGACAATCAAGGAACACCGAGCCCCTCCCCAACGAAAAGGGTTCCTTCTCCAGCGCCCCGACTGTACGCAGAAGGTTCGCAGATCTGCGAAAGCTCTGCGGACTGTCCGTGGACTCGACGAGGAAGATCAATGCTGGGGCAGTGCGGTGCTGCAGTCAAAGCACCCCACTCGAAGGCAGGGCCTGGTCCGGGGGCTTCACGACGGGGTCCGGAGGAGCGGGGCCTGCGGGGCTGCCGGGCTCTGCGCGGGGGCTGCCGAGAGGATCGGGGGGGGCTCCCCACGAGATCCTGGCGTCGCGATGTTGTTCGAGCCCCGGGCGTTCTCGAGCAGCCTCGGGCCCCAGGACCCTCGCAGATCGGTCCAGCTCGAGAAATGGCGCAGACAGGTGGGGTCCCAGGCTCTGGTCGTGATGTTTCGCGAAGTTGCAACTCTTTCGAGACGTCGGATCTCAGGGTCATCAGTGTGGCATTCGCTGGTAAGCCCCATATCCCCTTAGCAATCCCCGCGACCATCCCAGCAGGAAAGGGCCTCCAGGTTGAGCTTGCACTACTCAGGGCATCCTCGCCCTGGGGCCCCATGTACCCTGAGATCCGACGCTGCGAAAATTACAGCAGCGCGAAAAATCACGACTGGAGTACTGGACCTGGTCTCTCTGCGGCACCTTTCGAGCCGGATCAGCATGTGATGGCCCAGGGGCCCGAAACCAGGCGAGAGCGCCCGGTGTGAAAAAATTGCGACGCCCAGATCCCCAGGTTTCCGACGTCATGGCTTTTGTGCATTACGTCGACCCCCAGAAGTTTGGACCAATCTCTGGAGCTGGTTTTTCATCCCGAGTTTTTTGTTGACGGCCCCGAGGACCAGTAAGGGCCCCCGCAGGCCGAAAATGGCGAAAAATGTCCCGTCATGATTGTTGTCAAGACCTGAGGGGTTTGGACCTCAGAGTCTCGGGGCCCCGTGTGTTGAGGTGCTGCCAAGTCCCCCGCTGCATCCTCTGGCTTCGCCAGCCCTCCTCCACATCTTGTCCTCGTCCGCTCAGCCCGGCCACCGCGCGGCTAACTGACTTCGGGGCAGCGTCAGGAGGGGGTAGGCTCAGGGGGGGATACATCGACCCGCGATCGCCCATTATTTGCCAATAGGGGCCTCATAGCCCACCCCGTCCAAGACGTGCAGTTCCGCCATCGGGGGCCATCGCCGACCTATCGCAGATGTATCGCCGATTCCAGGTCGGTGTTCCCTCCCTAGGCTGATCCCCCCCCCTTTGGCTGCGTTGGTTAAGGAATGCGCCCGGGTGGCCTCGATTGGGGCTCCGTCGGCTTCTAGACCTTGGATCCCTTGTCCAATGGTTCGTTCCAGTCGGACCGAGGTGTCAGATCGAGGTCGGTTCGGGGAGGGTACCCCACCATTCGTCATGTATGTTGGATGTTCTTATGCATCATGCATCCTGGGAGAGGGTACACTCGAACGTTCTTGCAAGGATGTCCTGTTGTCCAGGGCCTGGTCGTATTCCAGTGCCCTCACCGTATCTCGGGCCGGGCGAAAGGGGGGGATTGGGAAAGGGGGGGTTACGAAATCTGCTGCATGCAGCTGGTTTCTGCCCCGCCGCCGGGCCCATTCCTCGATACATGGCCGCCTCCGGCGCCGGGAGGCGCCGGGAAAATCAGCTACGAGAGCTGATTCTCAAACCCCCCCTTTGCTATCCCCCCCTTTCGCCCGACCCGAGTATCCCTCCTCCCATCGCCAGCGTCAGCGCCCCCTTCGTCGGGTCTGCCCCTGTCTCCACGCCAGCTTGCCGAGCCCCCCCCCTTGGCCTCGGCTGCACGTGGGGGGGAGGGGCCTCGCTCCTCGCTCCTTGCTCCTCTCCCTCCCCGCCTCTTCCTCCTCCTCCTCCTTTTCATGCTCCTCCTCCCCCTCCTCGTCCTCCTCCTCCTGCTCCTCCGCCTCCTCCCCCTGAGGTACTGAGGCACTGAGACACTGAAGGCGATAGAGTCTCCTGACGTCGCCCTCCCTCCTCCTCGCTACTCGCTCCTCCTCCTTCTCCTCCTCCTCCTCATTCTACTCCTCCTCCTCTGTTCCTCCTCCTCCTCCTCCTCCTCCTCCTCCTCCTCCTCCTCCTCCTCCTCCTCTGTTTCTCCTCCTCTGTTTCCTCCTCCTCCTAAGTCCTCCTTCTCCTACACCTCCTCCTACTCCTCCTCTCCTCCTCCTCCTCCTCCTCCTCCTCCTCCTCCTCCTCCTCTCCCCTCCTCCCTCCTCCTGCTCCTCCGGTTCCCTCCTCCTGCTCCTCCTCCTCCTCCTCTTCCTCCTCCTCCTCTTCCTCCTCTGTTCCTCCTCCTCCTCTCATGCTGCTGCTGCTGCTGCTGCTGCTGCTGCTGCTGCTGCTGCTGGCTGCTGCTGCTGCTGCTGCTGCTGCGCTGTGCTGCTGCTGCTGCTGCTGCGGATCCTCCTCCTCCTCCTCCTCCTCCTCCTCCTCCTCCTCCTCCTCCTCCTCCTCCTCCTCCCCCTCCTCCTTCTCATCCTCCTCCTGCGGCTCGCAGTCCTGAGCCCCTCGCCGACACCCTCTCGTCGCAAGGCCTTGCCTGGGTCGCATGGCCGCAAGCCGCCACGGCAGCTTGCCCCGCGGCCGCCCTCGCGGCCCCAAGGCGCCCCCCTCGGGGCTCACTGCGCTCCCCCTCCGTAGCCACTTTGGCTCGGGTCTTCGCGGCGCCCCTCGGCTCCCACTTCCCCCGTCCCCTTACTCGTTCGCCTCTGCCCTGCGATCCGACGCAGCGAGAAGATTGCAGCATGGTCTCTGCGCCATTTTTCGAGCCGAGCCGATCTGTGAGGAGCACAGGGCCCAAAACTGGGCGAGAGCGCACGGTGTGAAAAAGCTGCAGCGCCCGGAACTCGGGGGCTTCGAGGCCTCCAGAGGCCGAGGCCTCGTCGCCGCGGCCAGACGCAGCGCAGAGAGCTGGTCGGATTGGGCCCCGCGGAGGGGTCGTTGGGCCGGCTCCGCGCGGGCTCCGAGGTCTCGCGATCTCGCCTCGACCTCCGAGCCTGCGGCGCGAGCATTCCTGGGTGCAGGCCCGCGGGCTGCGCGGGCCCATGGGCTGCGCATCCTCCGCCCGACGATCCTCATGGCGCGTGTTGGCGCAGTGCGTGTTTGGTAAGGCTTCGGGCAGCGCACAGTCAGCCCCCCAAGGTAGTCCCGGCTGGCCTCCACAGGCACCCCGAGCACAGTCAAGACGCTGAAACAAGGACCGCCCTGGGTTCAGGAAGGGCTTTGGTATCCGAGCCGTTCCTTAAACCTGGTTCGGGGAACCTACTCGTGGCCGATACTCGCCGCTGCCATAAGAGCCCCTTCGTTCCTTGTTTGGCGTCCCTCATGGTAGCACGATGACTGTAGACCCAGCTGGCCTCGACAAGCCCCCCAAGTAATCCTGGGCGGTCGCAACGCCCTGGCGCCGCCTCCAGCGGCAACCCTGGAGGCGCGGAGCGCCCCAGGGTTGAGGTGTTGAGACCGCCCCGGACTACTCAAAAGGGCCCGCGGAGGCCAGCTGGGATTACTCGGGGGCCCGTTGAGGCCAGCCAGGACTACCTGGGGGGGCTGCCCGTGCGCAACCCTAAGCCGCATCATGTGTGTGTTATCCCGCTCAGCTCCACCGATAGCACGCAGCCTGTGTCGGCCCTCATAGAGCCGCCCAGATGCTATTGTCGGGCTTCGGTGGCCAAGCACGGTAGGGCTTCGGTGGCCAAGCACACGTTGGCGTTAACACACAGTCTCAGGATCGTCGGTCCTCCGCGCGAGCCCGGCGCGCACCCGGCAAGCGGATCCCGAGCGCGAACGCGGGTGGGAAGCGGCCGAGTTTTCGGGGCGCCCGGCTCCTCGACGAGTATTGCGTTGGGCAGACGCTGGGCGAGGGCTCGTTCGGGGTCGTCTCCAGCTGCACGCACCGCTCAAGTGGGTCCGAGTACGCGGTGAAGATGGTAGACAGGGTGGAGACGCCGGTGGACGAGATTGAAAAGGAGGCAGCGTTGCTGGGGACTCTCAACCACGCGAATATCGTGAAGATCCAAGGCGTGTACTACGAGAAGTGCTTCGTATGCATCGTCATGGACAAGTATAGCGGTGGCGACCTCGTGGAGGCCCTGCAGAGGCACATGCAGCAGAAGGGCCCGATCCATTGCCAGGACCTCGTGCACGTGTCGCGGCAGATGGGAGCCAGTCTCCAGTATCTGCACATGAAGTCGACCATCCACCGGGACATCAAGGGCGACAATTACCTCATGGATCGAAGAGACGTGACGGACCCAGGCTGCAAGGTGGTCCTCACCGACTTCGGCACCGCTTGCCACGTAGCCAAGGGCGAGCGGCTGAGCACCGCCGCGGGCACCCAGCTTTTCTGGGCGCCCGAATTCTTCGACGGGAACTACGGGCTCAAGGTGGACGTGTGGGCGCTGGGCATCACCATGTACGGCCTCGTGAGCGGCCGCTTTCCCTTCGCCGACGAGAGCGACATCCGCACGAGGGAGCCGATGATGTCGAAGCGGGTTCACCAGGCCTGCCAGGATTTCATCAGGAAAGCGATCGCGAAGAAAGAGGCCGCACGAATATCCGCAGACCAGGTGATGGCGCACAGATGGGTCGGCCACGGCGTCGAAGAGGCGGAGGTGAGCGCTCATCGCACCATTAGCGATGCCGCGGACGATGACGGCCAGATCCAGGACATGAGGATCGACGACGCGGACGACGGCATCAAGGAGAGGCGGCAAGAGCTGATCGACAGGTTGAACGAGGAGCACGAAATCAAATCCAGGACCAGCGCGGAGAGTTTAGGTGCCAGTTCGAAAGACCGTGGAAGCGTGAGCGAGCAGAAACAGTCGGCCCACGTTGATGGGAACAAGTTCGCCTTGAGAGACAAGATGAACAACCGCATGGTATACGAGTGGTTTGACAAGGCAAGGCAGCGGGACATTGACGAGTGGTTCCTCAAGGGAAAGCCATATTCCGAGTCGCTGCTGAAGGAGAGCGGCACCGACCACAAGATATTCTCCAACATGCTGAGGGACCACAAGATTGATACCAGCGCGTTCGGTAAGGGGAAGGCAAAGACCTTGCCACAGCTGGCTGCGGAGGTCGACGGCGGAGCGGCCCTGCTCATGCTCGACGCCACCGAGCACAAAAAGTTGGTGCGCGTGTGCGACGTCGTGGTGCTCAAGCTCAAGAGTGACGGCGGCGAGCGCATCCTCATCGAGACGGAGGAGGAGTTCTGCGACGGCCGCAGGCGTGCCACCAACTGGTTGCCAGGCGCGACGAAGGAGCCTTATGAGAACACGCGGCAGGTTGCCGAAAGGATCCTCAAGGAGTTCCTCAAGCTCGACCCCAAGGGCGTGGAGTTGGACCTGCGCGGTGTCGAACGGGTAGAGGAGGAGAACGAGTCTATCTGGTGGCCTTCGGCCCATCCCGCTATCTTGCCTGGATCCTGTACCAGAGGCCTTTTGGGGGCCTCGAGGGTGCCGCCGGAGATTTCTTGCAAGCCGCTTAGAGGGGTCTTTGGGCCTTCTGGGGCGGGAAGGGCCTTGGACAACCTCCGAGGCTGTTGGGCATTCCGTTGCAAGTTCGGGGCACGGCGGCGGATCTCGTACCCAGGCGTCACGACTGTCTACCGCAAGGAGTTGGTGGAGGGCGCTTTCTCAATGACAGACGCGGTTGAACTCGCAAAGGTCGGGTTGCCCTCTTTTGGCGCTTGGCATGCCACCGACGCTGAGGGAAACACCAAGTTTTTCAGTTGGATGACCAGCGCACAGTGCGATGAACGAAAGGTAAATCTATATCCACAGACCCAGGAGATCTCGACGCTGGTGCGGGCGCCCATAGGCCTCAACGAAGAGGCGTTGCGGAGGCACCTCACCGATTGCGGCATCGATGTTAGACAGTTCGGTGGCCCCAGCACGAAGACTTTGAAGGAATTTTCGACGGAGCTTGTCAGGGGGGAGTCCACACTGGCAGAGGACTCCTCCGGCGCACTGCTGCGGGTTGTGGACATCGTGTTGGTAATCATATCAAGGCACGGTGGCAGCGAGCTGCTGGTGCAGAGTGAGCACATCAGCTCGGATGGTACCCAGACGAAGTTGAACCGTGTTCCGGGCGCGAAGCGTCGTCCCGACGAAAACCAGTTCCTCTGCGCGCGCCGCGTCATCCGAAGGCAGCTCGAGGTCGACGACAACAGGGTGGACCTGGACAGAACAGTCCAGATCATCGAGGAGGAAGAGGAGTGCCCCGCCTACCCTGGCCTGAAGACTCTGTGCCGCAAGCGGATCATCACTGGCGTGTTGCGGAGTGGGCCCAAAACGGCCTCCCCCCTCCGCCCACCTCCCTCGCTCCACCGTTGCCCGTTCTCCGCAGAAGATACCCGTGCAACACCGCCATGCCTGACAGGGACCATCCTCGGTCCCGGTATGGTGCGTAGGCCATCCTGGCCTCGGCCAGGAGGGCGTG